TTATGTTTGGTTCAATTCTCATTCTTTTTTTATTATTATTCAAGATGAAATTCTAAAATGACAAGAATGGGTAAAAATAGGCAGAATGAGAAAATATTACTATGAACCAAACACTTTTTTCTTATAAATAAATTCTTTTCAGACTGACAAGTGTCTCATGTTGCTCATTTTCATTCTTAAAAAAAAAAATAACATGTGTTGGTATTCATAAACCGCTAGCCTAGGTCTTCAAAATTGTTGGAATAGATGTTTACCAGTGGATGGCTGGCATTCAATGTCTGTTAATTGAACTAGATTTGGTCGAATCCGGTTTAATCCACTATTGGTCTATTTACAAATGGATTGGACCAAATCCAGTCCAAATACATACAAACCAAGTCCAATCCAATCCAAATAAAATGCAAATGGACCGGATTGGGTTAAATCCAATCCATATTGAATCAAATACCACATGAGAAATCTAGAAAACATATAAAAAAACTACAACAACTACTGCAATCCAATCTAGTCCAATTAAAATGTAAACGGATCAGATTGGGTCCAATCCAATCCAAAGTGAATGAATAAAAGTGTTTTTGCAAAAGTGCTTTGATAAAAGTACTTTAATAAAATTGTTCTCGTAAAAGTGCTTTTGTAAAAGTACTTCCATAAAAGTATTTTGTATAAGTGCTTTTATAAAAAGTACTTCCGTAAAAGTGCTTTTATATGCTTTCGTAAAAATAAAAATACTTTTACAAAAGTGCTTTCGCGTAAAAGTACCTTTATAAAAGTGCTTTCATAAAAGTACTTTTCATAAAATTACTTATATGAAGTACTTTTGTAAAAGTGCTTTTATAAAATTGATTTCGTAAAAGTGTTTTCATAAAGTGTTTTTATGTCAACTTCAGTTTTGATCGGTTTCAAATTGGACAAGGTTTGCCAGAGTTTTGTAAACAGAGTTTTCTCACAGAATGAAAATGAGCAAGATGGGGCATGATTATTTTTCATGCTACAAGCTACTCAATTTTTGTGCTATGAGACTGATTTTTCATTTTAAAAAGAATGTGACCCATGGTAAGAATTTTGTAACCAAACACTTTAATGTTATTCATTTTTGCCTATTATTGTCTACAGTGAGCAAGAATTAAAGGAATGAGGCCCAGAGTAGTGATCCAAACATGGCCTAAATATACAAAAATCCCATCTTTTGAATAATTGAAACAAAACTCAAATGCAAAGTGCACATGTTTGGATGGGATAGAGAGAGAGAGAGAGAGAGAGAGAGAGAGAGAGAGAGCAGTATGATATGCCCACCACCTACATGAGTTTCAAAAATTCAGGTATATTTTGAAAATTTAAAAGGAATGAAGGGTAAAAACATCATAAGGTATATTTAAGTATTTTTGCAAAACTCAAGGTACATTTAAATCAATTTATAAAAACTCAAGGAATGTTTAACTCTTTTATCCAAAATAAGCCCAAATTTCGAGCTTTTTTTAAGTATTTGTCGAATAAGCATTTCTTGGGATTTTTCTTCAAATCATGCCCTCTACCTTTTGATCCATTTCCAAGTAATGCCCCAGATAACAAAACACAGTAGAAAACCTTAGCATTTCTCCATCTTTCTCCTCCCATTCACATGTTTCCTTGCGGCAACAACCAGGGCAGAAAACCGATCCCTAAGTTCATTTCTAACAGCACTTTACTCATTTTATCAGTTTTTAGTTTTTCTCCATATTCAAATATGTGGCTGTACTCACCAATCACTCAATACAAAAAAAAAAAACAATATTTTAAAAATAAACATGGAAAAAACATCTTCAAACACTAATAAGTGCTTATTAGATAAATGTTTATAATAAGCACTTATTTCCCAAACAAAGCCTAGAGAAAACCCTAAAGGCTCTAATTTTCAATTATGATCATTTATCTTCAAAGATCAGATTGGCACTCATGGACATCTTAGCATGCGTTGGGAACATCTTCCATATTTGTCATAGAGAAATGTTTCCAATATACGACTGAGATGGTCTATGGGGCGTGTTCTGTGAGGAGCTTATGTGAATTCTTATCATCAATGGTTGCAAAAAGAGGCCAAAAATAGACAACTTGGGTTTGCTAGTTCGTAAACGATCCAAAAATATTTCCTGCGACCAAGGGCTCCAAAAAGGAGTGCCTGTATTCATTTCCTTGCTCATTATTCATGGAAAAGTTTTTTTGGCCAATATTTTGTTTCCATATCCCCCAACTGGTCAACATAAAACCTTTCTTCTATGGGCAACTTCTACATTTAAAGCAAAAGATTTGGAACGCGATAACCAATTGGGCCATGGTTGGATTTGGATATAGGGCTGCTGTGGACTGCAGGATGCACACGTGGCTAATTATTTCTTCAAGGTTAGGATTTGGACAGCCATATCCCTTAACGCATTCATCGATGAAGTTCTTGATGTTCCAAGGAGGCACTACTCTATGGCGAAGACATTCTATGATAATAAGCAAATCTCCTTCTATAATGAATTTGTGGGCTTCAAGGGTTGCCCAAGCCTCAGCCTCACTAATTGAGCAAACTCCTATATCCTTACAACATACCCATAGAGTTTGAGACCCCATCTGTCTCTTAGAATGGCCCCTATTGCACAACTACCATCTGGATTTCTGCATGCCCCAAAATTAATTTTCATGAATCCATTGCTAAGACAGTTCCATTTAATTAAACTTTCATCGCTTCCTCTTGGTTTAATTTCCAAATTTTACTAATTTTATTGATTTTGTCATTGGAGTATTCACCATTAGGGTTGTGCTTCCAAATCACTCTATCCTCACCCCTCGATAAAATAGGGATAACACAGATTTGGTTCCATTGTTGAGGGCTGACTTTATCAATAATCTTTTCTTGGTTTCATGTTTTTGAATCAGTGATGAACTCACCAACTTTGAATTGCTGTTCCATTTGGGGGTATATGTCTTCATTTGCTAAGGCTTTATCACCCATCCACACATCTGTCCAGAAATTTATAGATTTCCCATTTCCTAATTTCTAACCAACTTTTTTAAGGACTTCTCTAAATTGGAGAACACTTCTCCAAGCCCAAGAAATTGATTTCTTTGGTTTAATTTGCCAAAAGTCTGGTTTTTTTATGTACTTGTCCTTGATTAGTTTCACCCATAAATTCTCTGGGTGAGTAAGCATTTTCCACCCCAGTTTGGCAATACTTCATTAACCCATTTTAGGTTTTTTAAACCCCATCCTCCATTATCTTTCGATTTACATACAGTTTACCACTTAACTGGATTCACTCCTCTCTTTCTACCCCGATTCCAAAGAAAGCTCTTTTGTTTTTTTCTCAACATTCTCTATCATAATTCTTAGGAGTTTGAAAACTCTCATCAAGAATTGTGGCATCATATTAATAGATGCTTTTAGTAATGTAACTTTACCTGATATCGATAGGGTATTTTTCTTCTACCCTTCAAGTTTTTTTTTGTCACTCTATCTCTTAATTCTACCATGCATGTTAGGGGAGAAAAAGGAAGTAGATTTTGTAAAGTTGGGGCATTGTCCAGATGCAATTGCATAAAGGCCCATAATCTCCTTGACTCTTGCAGCATTGTTGAGATTTGCTTCTGCAAAAACAACAGTCATCGACAAACTGAAGAAGAGGGATGTTAGGCCCATTTCTCAAAGCCTTGAAGCCCAAGCCTGAATCCCCTCTGGTTTCATTTGAACAAATTATGCTATAGAGCACCACACTGCGAAGAACAAATATGTAGGGTGAGAGGGGTCCCCCTGCCTAGTGCCCCTAGCCGGTTTCTTTTGAACAAATCATTTTACAGAGCTCTTTTTCAATACCTTAGTTTCACCCAACTGCTTCATTTCAAGAATCTGTCATGATTCATTGCGCCGTGGTCTGCGTGGCTATGGTGAGTCCAGATCTCCTGCCCATGTTCACTGTGCCCACATTTATCACAGCCACACATGGAGAACATCTCATCCTCTGCATAGTATTATTATGCAGGGGGAGATGTTCGTATTGTGGGTAGGCATGGGCAGGAGATCCGGAGTTCGCTATGGCATACAAAATGACAAAACTAAATCACAGCAGCAGACCAAAAGTGGGGTTATATGGTTAAAAAGCTCATGGAACCCACGGGCAAAGTGCCCATGATGCTAGCAAGTAGCAATGCTCTAAATTTAGTAGGTGTTTGGCATCGGTGTTGGGCATGTGAAGTTGCAAGCATTGTTTTTTGAGAAAACTATGCTTATTTTACCAGAGCTGTTGAAACGTTTTCAGCATTGGTCTATATTATCCAACATCCAAGATGAAGTCACATTGATGCCACATCATTGCACCGCTAGCAGATGCCATTTTCTCAAAAAACATTAAATTTGGTGTTGCTCCAAACCACTTTCCCAATTTACAAAGAATAGTCTGGAGCAACGTTTTTTCTAGAAAAAATGGTATCAAATTTTCTAAGCACTGCTTTCTCTGATGTGGCACCTACATTAGAAAACGGCATCAATGCCAAACACCACCTTAATGTATTTCTGAATTGCTCTCTTTCTATTTCCCTCTCCCTCTCCCTCTTCCTTGTGAAAGAAGGCATGGTGGTGCTTCAAAATATGCTTTAAAGCACAAACTGGCCTTCAGGTGGCAGAGCAATACAATGATACAGAAGGATTTAAGCCATGACATCATGACATGATCCTAGAAAACTGCTTGGGTTGCCAATTCACCCGAAGACAAATAAATAAATAGAGGTGATTAGATAACAGTGGGACCAGTCTTCCTTTCTAATAGGAAAAGCGTATGGCTTATAACCTTTAACTCAAAAAAATCTTACAACTTTCAGAATTGTAATTAGATCTTGAACAACGATAAAAACCTCCATTAGTACCTTAACATTTTCATTTAATCATCACTATCATCCAATCCTTATCCCAAATATATGGGTCGGCTACGTGAATCCTGTTTCACCGGTCCTTAACAACGGTTCTATAGAACCTTAGCATTTTCAGATAACAAATGAAATATATTATATTACACTTGCACCACTGTAACAGTCAAAGCTTTAGCCATTTAAGAAATATCTATAATCACATTCAACTGTTCACAGAATCCCACACCTCCCTCTCTTGTTTGGGTTGGGAGAGAGGATGAGCATAGAGGAGCTTACAGAATCAGCGACGCAAAAAAAAAAAAAAAGTCATGCTACATTGGAGAAAGCTATAAAGCTACGAGCGCAGACCTCACAGACGACAAACTGCTTGGGTTGCCAATTCTCCCCAGGACCCATTTGCTTTCCTGCCAATGTAGGCTGAATAACACCATTGAAAAAAGGTTATAATGAGTAACCACGGAATGTAAAAATTAAGTGTAGTTGAGAATACAACCTCCTCAAACCATCAAGTCTTGTAGTTTCTGCCAAAAATCTCACAACACTACTCCCACTCAATAGTTGATGGAGGCTTTGATGTAATGTCTTGCACAACGCGATTTACACCTCGGACACTATTGCAAATCTTCCGGGCAACATCATCAAGGAACTCGTGCTTAAAATAGTACCTGAAAAGCGCACAATTTCAGGAAGAAATAATAACAAAAAAATGAACAAATGCAGGGACATTCAAGAGCTTGTGGTCAATATTGTAAACTGAGAAGTACCCAACTTCACAAAAACAAAAACCAATGAACAAATGTGGAGAGATGGTTCTACAAAAGAACTAGGGCTATAACCAAACCAATGAAACCAGCCAACCCAACTCGACCCAAGTTGGTCGATTTTTTAATATTTTCAGTCGGCTTCGGTTTTTGTAAACCGACCAAAACCAAACCAACTCGCCCATATATATATTAATATTTTATATTTTAAACATAATTTTTAATACAGGAAACTGGATAAATTCCCATATTTACTAGTTTCAAATATTTTATATTGTAAATTTAATTTTTTAATAATACTGCTGTAATTTTTAAAAGCCAAATTTATTTTTTCAAGTTTAAATCTTTTTAACCGACTGACCAAACCGAAAACCAACCCAAACTGATAATACCCAAGTTGGCCTGTTCTCACTATTGGTCAGTCGGTTTCAGGTGACCAACTCCCCAACCCAACCAGGCTGGTTCGGTAAGAACACCCTGTAACTGGACTGAACCAACCTGTGAAAACCCCTACAAAGAAAAATCTGATAAAAGGTTTTTAACAGCACAAGTATCAGGAATTTTCACCCAATGATGGTGCTGGATCTTGAGCCTCAATTCTCATGCTTGTCAACTGGAGATTTTATCATTGCAACAAGCAATGACCCCTGTTTAAAGCTCAGTTACATAAGAAAACCTAAAAGGAGTTTGTCAGAAAGTGAATTAGCTAGCTAACACATGGAGATGATGCAGTGTTCGGATGCCCAACTCCATTACCATGCTAATTTACACAATGCCTCAAAAGTTTCACTTTAGAGCTTAATTTGACCTCTGTAATAGATTCACATTTGCTCAGATGAAAAACATATGCATTAAAACAAAACAGATGTCCCAAGATTGTTTTAGGACTACACCTATATACAGGTGGGTCAAATTACATGGCATTTACAGCTGCCTTGAACATTATGGATCTGGTGCATCATGTGGAGCTCATTGTCTAAAGCCAAATCTATGGTGATCAAGGCAACTGTATGCTACATGGTTTGACCTTAACCCATATGATCAGCATTGCTCTTCACACTTTACATAAACAAATCAGAAACTGTTGCTTTTTATGTCAATACTAATATAACATCAGAGCCTGGTATTGAACACAAAAACAGTAAGGCATTAAATGAGAGAAAAAGGGAAACAGACATCAAATTGATCATACCGGACCTTAAACCAGACATCATCAATTGCATCATGGGATGGTTTATGTAGGCATCTGATGTTAGAGAAGTAGAAAAGATGGCCTTGCTATACAAGGATATCCACTTATTTTTTCTTTTTTGATAAGTATAAGGCTACCCACTATTTAACACCATCAACTGCAGCAAGTGATTGTTTCCTATGACATCTGATGCTGGATAGATAGAAAAGTGATTGTTATAAATGATAAAATGGTAGGTCTCTGGTAGTTATTTTCCTGGAAAATATAGGGGGTGTTGAATAGGAATTGGTGGGATAAAAAGTACTGTTTTAATAGTAGAAAGGTACTGCTGTAAAACAATCAGGCAATGTGGTGAAACTAAGGTTACATGGACCAGCCCATGGGAGGGAAAAGAAAGATGTGCAATGAAGTACAAGAGGAAGTAAGAAAATAAAAGAGAAAATAGAAGATGCAGAAAAGTAATTGACTGAGGAAAAAAAGATGTGCAATGAAGTACAATAGAAAATAGAAAAATTGTCAGTGTTTGGATTGATAGAAAATAAGAGAGAAAAAGAAAGTTGAGGGAAAGAAACTTCTTAAGGAATTTTATAAAATGTATTACATACTTTCCCTCAACTTCACTGCAAGAAACACATTCAAGGGCCAGGAGGAAGTGAGAGCAAGGAAATAGAAGATGCAGAAAAGTAGATTGAGGAAAAAAAGAGGTGCAACGAAGTAGAACAAGAATAGAAAAATTAAGTCTGTGTTTTGGATTGATAGAAAATAAGAGAGAAAATGAAAGTTGAGGGAAACTTCTTTAGGAATTTTTAAAATGCATCAAGTACTTTCCCTCGACTTTCTATTTCTTGCTTATATTCTATCAAACCAAATGTAGCCTAAAGCTAGTAGAGAAGAAATTGTCCAATCAGAGAAACAGAGGAATAAAAGGAAGAAATTCTTATCCTGAAGAAATTCTAATAGCAAATAATTGTCTTTGAAATAATTGAGCATAGAAGCACATAAGAGCTAGGGATATCCAGCCAAAGGGAGGCTTAATGATCCCACCAAAAGATTCCTGTCCCCACTATTTCCAATGCAACTTCATTGTGGACCTTGGCAGCCTTAAACCCCTCATATATTCCTATTGGACTGGGGTCTCCAAAGGGTATCAAAAGATTCAAAACTATCTGCCATAACAGCTCTTCGGCTTTGGAAATGGGCCAAAATCGCAACCAACATTTCCCAATGAAGACCTCATGTCCTCAACCAAAACTAAAGTCACAGAAACAACACACCCTTAAAACTGTTAAACATAATATCACCTAAACTAAAAATGGTGCCAAAATAAGTGCATTTAACAAACTATCACAATGATATCAAACACAGTTTTGAGAAAACTTCCTCACACAAATACAAAAATAAGCACATGAACACATACAGGAACAGAAAAACAAGTTCTAATTTTGAATCTCAAGAAACAATATCTTAACTCTTGTCATTTCCCCTTCACTAATCGTTATTTGTTTTTTCTCTATTCCTCGTGGATTCTGCCATGACATCTGTGTTTACACTTTTTTGCTTTTTTTGAACCTAGCGGCTGGGCCAGGGGCTCTACCCCTGGACCCCCAACCATGCTCCTCGAGGCAAGCCCAAACAAGCCCATGTTAGGGTCTTGAATTCTTAATTTTCACACAAAAATAATGATTATATAATTTTAATTGCCTTTTAAGAAGATATTTTATTAAGATGAATGAATGAGGAAAAAAGAGATTGTGGGTTTAATATGCTTGAAAATGTTTTATATGTTTGATTTTATTTTTAAATTTTCATTTGAATACACTTTACATGTTATGTTTATGTATTTTAATTTTAGATAATAGGTATTTTAAAAAATTAATTTTAAAATTTAAGCTTATATTTTTTATTAATATTATTTGTTTGCATTTTTTTGAATTTTTTGACATTTTTTTATTTTTAGTATTTTTTGTAGTTTTGTGCCTTGCTTCGAAAAGGCGCATACCTCGCCTTGCGCCTTGCACCTCGAGCGCAAATTGGCCCTTGCGCTTTTAAAACACTTCCCCGATGCAAATGTAGCACGTCAATATACATTATTTGAGTTAACATCATAAACAACATGGAGTAAGAAATATGTAGAGAGACACTAAAAGTTCAATATATAAACATGATTGAGAAAATACAAGAAATTTACATAAGAAAGAGGCAAGAAATGAGTGAAAATTAAGAAGCACCATAAATAAAGACACAGAAACAAGCTTACCAGTCTGCTGTCATTCCATCTTGGCTTGTAACAGCTCTAAGAGCAACGACATGAGAATGTGTTCTCTGATCACCTTGAACCCCAACTGATCTTATTGGTAAAAATACTGCAAAAGCTTGCCAGATTAAATCATAGAGCCCTGCTTCCTTGATTGACTGAATGAAGATCTCATCAACCTGGAGACATTATGCAAGAATAAATACCAAAGGATGGACCAAGATGATCTATCATTTTACTACATATATGAAAACTGAGCAAACCTGGCGAAGGATATCCAAGGCATTTCCTTCAGTAACATCACCTAAGACTCGTACTGCAAGGCCAGGCCCAGGAAATGGGTGGCGCTTCAGAAATGCTCCAGGAACATTCAAGATCCTCCCTAATTCCCGTACCTAAAAAATATAATATGTTAGTACAGCACAGAAAAGTAAAATACATGATTAAATTTGCCTAAAAAGAAAGCATATCTCATACCTCATCCTTAAATAGAAGCTTAAGTGGTTCCATGAGTTTCAATTTCATGTCTTTGGGAAGCCCCCCAACATTATGATGGCTCTTGATTGTGTGGGAATGAGTTCGTCCACTTCCAGGTGGTGGGCATGATTCTATGACATCTGGATACAGGGTTCCTTGAACCAAGAAAACTGGCTTCTTTCCTAATTTATGCTCCAAATCTCGGGCAAAATCATCAAAGATGCAAATGAACTCCCTTCCAATTATTTTCCTTTTAGCCTCAGGGTCTATGACACCTTTCAGCTTATTAAGAAATTGCTCGGTTGCATCAATACAGGTAACAGGCAAATGAAGGTCTCTTTCAAAGGTTTCCATCACACGCTCTCTCTCCTTATACCTACAGAAAGAATATACATGATGAAAAATTACATAAAGATACAGCAGAAGATGAAGTATGAAACTCTAGACATTGGAACACACTGAAAACAATTGTTGCTCTTCACATAATTATCTTGAAGAAAGGCAAGTAGTAGCCTGCCTTCTTACCTCAATAAACCATTGTCAACAAAAACACAGTGAAGCCGATCTCCAATTGCCTTGTGAACAAGAGTTGCTGCAACTGCAGAATCTACTCCACCAGATAACGCACAAATGACATGATCTTCAGGCCCCACCATACCCTTGATCACTTTAACTTCTTCTTCCAACACATCTTGCATCTTCCAATCAGCAGTTACTTTGCATACGTTGAAAAGGAAATTTTGCAGTGTTTCCATCCCTTCTGGTGAATGCGTCACCTGCACAGGATTGACACTAAAATTACCACCTATACTAGACAATAAATGACAAACCATATAATAAATGTCTCATGTAATAAAGAGATAAAGCATTCATTCACCCTTAACAATGACAGGAATTGGGTTGGTGAGGGAAAGAAGAGAAACAAAAGAAGACACAGCCACCCATTCTTCACCCGCTTGTGTTGAACAGCTGTGAGGAGTATGATGTCAACATTTGCTATTATCCATATCGAAATCAAACTTCTTTACATAAGATTTTATTATGAAACAAGCATTACGGTGACAGGAACATCATAACCCATATAGAACAGTCATGTCTAAGCATATTATCATTTGAGTGTAAAAAGCCTAAACACCTTTCTTCTTAACAATATAAGCAACCATTTCCATCTGCGGCGAAAACAGCCTGTCATATTGGAAGAAAGCCCACTTACCATGTTTCTACTAACTATAGACCGAAACCTATGCCATCCAAAAACAAATCGAGACAAGAAAAATAGATTTCCAATTTTATAAAAACCTCCATGCGATCGAAAAGAATAAACAATTTGCTCAGAAAACAACTCAGGGACCATAGGAAATAAACCAGACAGAGAGCCAAAGAGCAAAATCTATCACCTCCGGATGATACTGAAGTCCGTAAAACCTCCTGGAATGATTCTCGATCGCCGCAACCGAACTCTGCTGACTCCTTGCAACGACCACAAACCCATCGGGCAGTTTAGCCACCTCGTCACCATGGCTCATCCAAACACTCTGTCTGTCCCCAACCACCTTCTCCCCAAACAAATCGCATTTTCTCTCCACCGCAATCTCCATCCTTCCATATTCTTGCTTCTCTCCAACCCTAACTTCTCCGCCGAGTTTCTGCACAATCAATTGCAGGCCGTAGCAAATGCCCAGCACGAAAATGCCGTTCGACTCGACGTACTCGATGAATCCCTGCGGAAAGCTAGGTGCACCATCGGAGTGGACAGAGTGAGGACCGCCGGAGAGGATTATGACACGAGGATTGAGATCACTGATGGATTTGAGAGAAGAAGTGCCGGAAATGCAAAGAGAGAAAACAGAGAGCTTTCGGATTAGACGAGTGATGAGGTGGGTGTACTGGGAACCGAAGTCCAGGATCAGAACTAGGTTGGATTTTAGGTTCTGGGGCTCCATGGTCGCGGCTTATGGTTCTCGCGTTTTCCCTCGACCTTCGTTAGTCGTCCCCTGCAACTGTTACGGTTGTGGCGTCGTCAAGTCGAAGAGGAAACAGAGGAGGGATATGCGGATATGTAACCAACGAACAAAAGAAAGTTAGGGTTTTAGGGTTTGGCGGGAAAAGAAACCCCCATCTACGCTGGGCAACGCATTGCAACATTGTATTCCACAGATTTTTTAAGGGTATCCACGTGGGTCCCTTTGCCGCTGTGAGATTCTATTTTTAATGGATATAAGATTAGCGGTATACTATTAAGGTGGAATGTTGAGTATGTAATACATACGCACTTTGGGAGAATTGATCCCAAGTTTCGAGATTCCAACTTTCCGTTTCACAGGCTTGAAAATAGACGGAAACGCTACTTAGGACGTGTTTGGTATCATTGCCGCGCGCGGCCAATCTCTCTCTCTCTATATATACACCAGCAGCACGTGCGACATACGGAAAAATCTGAAAGGTTTAATAATGTTATTTACTATTAATTAATATTAAATTAATAATTAAAATTTATTGTTAATTAACTAAAAGTATTCAAAGTTATTATTAATATTTAAAATTTTAATAATTGTATTTTCATTTAATGCTTCTTAAATTATTAATAAATATTAACTTACTATTAGGAAATATAAATTAGTTTATTAATTTATTAAGTTATTACTAAATTAATATAATATTAGTTTATAAGAGCATATTGAAAATAAGACATTTTGTGTACAGATCGGGCTTCAGGCTTGGGTTCGAGCTTCGGGCTTTATATAAGGGCTGGGCTCGGGATCAAGATGTAGGCCCAATGGTCGGGCCAAGCTTAGGCTCATGCTCGGGCTTGCACATTTTTTATTAATAAAGAGGTCCGTATTAATTATAAAACTATGCTTTTTTATAAATTAAAATTTTTATTTAATTATACTCTAGTATAAAAAATGTATAACATTTCTATATATATATATATATATATATATATTAATATAAAATTTGTTATTTAAATATTATGTAATAATATTTGCCAAGTTGAGCTTATTGGGGGTTGTTTAGCTTGGGCCCTATACGATAAAACTCCAAAAGTTTGACACCCAATAAAACTTCGGATCTGATTATCTTTTATAATGTGTGGGCATGGTGCATATCTCAGCTAGACCTAACTCAAAAGAAGATAGTTGCTTGAGTCTGCAAATTTATAGATCTAATCGGATTAGGTTAAGTTATAAACGATTTGTTACTTTTTATAATTAATTATTAAAATATTGTAATTATTAAATTATTGTATTTATTTAAAATACAATAATTTCTAGAAATTATCATATTTTCATAAATATTGCTAATTTCTTGGCTAAAACTAGTGAAATGTAATTTTTTGGTAATTAAATGTAATTTTCTACTATTTATAGCTTAAATTATAATTACTATTAATTGCAATTTAAAAATAATTATAGTTAATTATATTACTATTAATAATTAAAATACATTATTTTTTCATTATTATTCAGTATTTTTTGCAATAAAATACAATTAATTTAATTTTTTAATTATTTTTAGTATTTTAGTTAAGCTTTAGATTTTTCAGAATTTTTGGATTTTTAATTAATGTTTTGTTTTTTTTCATTATTATTCAGTAATTTTTGCATACGAGTATTTTTCAATAATTTTCAGTATTTTCATCATTTATTTTTGCATATTAGTCACTACAAAATTAATTTACATTTGCTTTCAATAAAAATCAATTAAATAACTAAATTAATACCATAGTTAATAAAAAATATAATTAATTTTCAATAATTTCTGGCTTAGGTATTTTTTTTAATAATTTTTGGTATTTTTAATAATAAAATACTATTAATTGTACTTTTTAATTATTTTTAGTAAATACCCTTATTAATATAAAATATTGTTAATTTTCAATATTTTTTAATTATTTTTAGTATTTTAATTATGTTTAGGTTTTTCAGAATTTTTTGGATTTTTAAAACTATCAATTAATATTTTTATATTTAAATTTCTTATTTTTATTAGTGTTTATTAAGTTGAATTTTTAAGTGAAACACATTTTTAATATTTACTAAGTTTTGATAATATTTATTTTTAGTAAAAAGTTTAGTGTATTTTTAAATTAATAATTTTTTGATTGTTTAACCCCAACCTATTTATATTATTTGATTTATATCATGGTTTTCAAAACCGGACCGGACCGGAAAAACCAGGACCTGGTGGTGACTGGTTCTGTTTTACCCCAGAACCGTTATTTCGCTAAAAATCGTTGATTTGGTCAACAAACCACTGGCCTATAAAATCAAATCGTTTGAACCGTCCAACGGTTTTAGCCATTTTTATTTTTATATATTTTTTTATTTTTTATCAGAACGGGCATGTTCGATTCGAATGATTGTATCGTTTGACCTGAGAACTGGACCTTTGACTGGTTCGTTGTTCGATTTGGTTTAAAAACCTTATTTATATTATTACTATTCTCTCTCTCTCTCTCTTTTAAATGTAATAATAACATTAATTAAAATAAGAGGCCTTTGAAAACCCAAAGGTCTTTCTCTCTCTTAAATGTCTTTTTTTAAATGTAATAATAACATGCATTAAAATAAGATGCCTTGGAAAACACAAAGGTCTCTCTCTAAGTGTACAACTTTATTAATCTAATCAAGATAAGCAATGATTATTGTTTTATACTTTTAAAACAAAAGAAAATAAGAGAAGATGCAAAAATTGGAGAAAATATAGCTTCTCTCAAAGGAGAGACATGCTAACATGGACCATCCAATTTATATATATATATATATATAAGAAAGATTGTCTGAAAATTTTCTTTCCATGTCATTTTTGAAACAACCAATGAGAGGCTTTCTTTTCTTGTAAAAAATTACTAAAAGTTCTCCTAAACTACCTCCCCACTATCCCCCACTATGTTATCATTAAATGAAGAACATCAATTACAATTATTAAAAGTTATTCATGATGAGGAAATCAGGAGAAAACATCTATTTATGGCAATAGAGAACCATAAAGAAAAGGATAAAAACAAAAATCCAAAAAAGATTTGCTTAAGAATGAAGATATATTCTCATACAATGAAATTATGAAGAAATCCCAAGGAACCTCCTCTCGAGCACCTACCTTATCAGACCTAAAGCAAGTGGTCAATAATCTTAAAAATGGAGTTAGATCTCTAAAGACAATAATTGAAATATTAGAATCTTATAAAGATTTAGTATACTAAGGAGGATCCAGTAGATCCTTAGAAATAGGAAATGTAGAACCTGCTGAATTTGTAGGAGAGGATGAAGAATTTCTATATTCAATCGAAGAAGTCAAGTACAAAAAATGGTACTCAAAAGTTATAATTAAGATTAAAGATTTTAGTTCCTTAGTTATAACCCTAATGATATAAACTGTATTAGAGAAGGAATTGTGCCTACTAAATATTTTGAGAAAATTTCCCAACAAATGAATGCCACTGATGGAAGAAAACTAGAGATTAAATATAAAACCCTTGTTGCCTATATTTTCAATCAAGGAACTTGCCTAAAGACTATGTTTCTCATGGTAAGAAACTTAAGGCAAGATGTTATATTATGAACACCCTTTCTACTATCAATTCTTCCCTACCAAATAGATTCTACAGGAATTATATTATGAACACCCTTTCTACTATCACTTACAAGTTCTACCAAAGGCCAAAAATAACGACAATAAATACTCTAAAAGAAAGCTTAAAAGACAAAGTCAATTTTATCTCTAAATTACAGGTAGAAATAAAAGAAAAACAGTTAGCTGAATCCTTAAAAAAAACAAAAGCCTAACAGAAATAGAAATTTTTCAAAAAAAAAATTATAAAAGGATATAGCAAAACAAAAAATTCCACTGAAGCTAGACCAATCCAGATGAATAGCAGATTATTAGAAATCTGCAAAAGGGAGATTTAAGAATTATTAACTAGAGGCTTAATTAGACCAAGGCCCCTTGGTCCCCATGTACAACTAAAGGCATTATGAATGTTTACTTGAGAAATGGAGTAGTGATGGCCAATAAACATCTCACAATACCCATTTTCGCAATAAGAGCAAATGTTTCATGATAGTCTACTCCTTTTGGCTGGGTGAAGCTTTTGGCTACTAGTTGGGCCTTATAGTGTTTGATGGATACATTGGACTTTTACTTAATTTTATAGACCCACTTGCAGCCAATGGCATGCTTGTCCGGAGGCTGTGATGCACCAAGTGTGATTGGTCTCTAAAGCATGTATTTCCTTGGCCATGGCGTCACGCCAATTGGAGTCTTGTATGGCCTTAGAAAAGGATGTAGGCTCATGGTGGGATGAGACGGAAGCAATGAAGGCAAAATGAGAGGGTGAGAGCCATTTGTGGGAGACAAAATTGGAGAGAGAATAGGGAGTACCTAAAGTCAGTGATGGCATCGGTGAGATGACATGGTAGTAATAGACACAGAGATAGGCGGGAGGGGGGATCTCTGGTGGAGCGACATGGAGCAATAGTGGGGTGGGTTGGAGGTATGACTGCCAATAGTGAATGATTTAACAAGTTGCACATTCGGGTCATTAGAGGTGGCGGGTGGGGTATCTGCAATATCCATTGAAGGGGCAATTGGTTGATCAGATATAGGTTGTGGAAGTACTAGGGAGTAGAGGCGGTGGAGGGAGGAGAAGGGAAAAACTTCATCGTAAAAAACTATGGTTTTCAAAACCGGACCGGAAATTGGTTCCCAGTTTTTTCCGAAACCGGATTTTTCTATAAAAACTATTGATTTTGGTTAGCAAACCACTAACACAGGCGGTTAACCGTTCGAACGATTTTGACCAATTTTTATTTTTTCATTTTTTTATATTTTTTTGTCAGAACGAGCCGAAAGTCGAATAGACGAACCGTTTGACCTGGTAAGCGGACCCCTGACCGGTTCGGTCTCCAAGTCGATTTTAAAAACCATGGGAAAAACAACATCGTGACTAGTGAACACAATATTGTCCTTGAGGTCATAAAAAGTTTTTCGTGAGGGGTATGACCATGAAGAAGAGATGTAGGTGTGTAGTTGATGAGGTAGGCAATTGTGAGTACACATTCCCCCAGAATTGTAAGGGAAAATGAGAGCCACGTTAAGAAGATGACGGTGCTTGTGTTCCATAATTCCATTTTGTTGTGGTACGGAGACACAAATGTGATGGTGAAAAATGCCCCTGGAAGTGAGAAGGCGTTGCATAATGCGTAAAATCATCAACATTAATGGATAAAAAATAACCAGCTTCAGAAAAGAAAACAAAGGAATAGAGTATGGTCCCCAAATGTCGCAATGTATTAACTCAAATGGGCAAGTGGTGGATATTTTGCTAGAGGGAAAGGGTAACCTGGTTTGTTTAGCTAAAGGACAAATATCACAATAGAGGGATTGTGAGAAAGAAGATAATTACTTGAATTATGCGAAAGAAAATAAGATTTAAATTTATTGAGAGGTCCAATAGAGGGATTGTCGAGCCGCCAATGCTAGAGATCGAATGAGAGGTGAGTGCTGAGGAGAGAAGTGGGTGCTGTGTCATGAACGAAGTGGTACAAACCGCCATGCTGCTTACCTAGGCCAATCACCATCTTCATTGAAAGGTCCTGAAAAGCGCAATGGTGCAGATACAAGATGGATATTGGTGGTGGTGGATTTGGTCATGGAGAGAAGGGTTAGGTTAGCGGTCATATATTCTGTAGTATCCATATCAATGACCCAAGAGACATTTTTTCATAACTGCACATACCTAGGGGTGGTCATGAGCCAAGCTTCTCACAAGTTATTCGAGCTTGATTTGGTTTAAATTGAGTTTTGATCTGAGCTCGAGCCTGATATATAGGCTCGTTTGCTAATCGAGTTGAGCTTAAGCCCAATAAAATTCAGCTTGTGAAGCTCGTAAGCCTAGTATAATAAATAAATATTTTTTTATTATATACACACATACATACATATACATATAAATATAAATATATATAATAAATAATTTTTATTATATATAATAATGTTTTATATATAATATTTTTATTTTTTATGTATAATAGTAAATAGTTTTTATAATTTTTAATTTTTTGTATGCAAAATAATAAAAAAATTATATGTATAATTTTTATGTTTTAAAGAAAACTTGGCTTGCAATTGAGCTCAAACCTAAAACAATTTCAATGGATCGAACTCGAATAACCAAATATTCGGCTCAACTCAGCTCGAATCCACCCCTAAACATACCAGCTAAGTTCGCAGATGGAGGAGACTTAACCTCATTCAGCAATTTGATTAATTGGTTATATTGATCCATGGTGAGAGAGGTGGTGGTGCTGTGGTAAAAGCATGATCGCTGGGTTTTATGAAATTTGCCTGACCCGGCTTGGCTATTAGTGCTGTGCTATCCACTTGAACGGTGGATTGAGAGTGAATGAGGCGTTGGGCTTTGTCATGTAGAACCAGAGAGTATGCCTTGCCAATTGCGGGGAGAGAATCCATCAGAAGAATTTGTGATTGGACATTGGAGTAGGTGTGTTGAAACCGATGAGAAATTGCAGGAGTTATTGCTGCTGTAAGTAATTTACAAGTGGAGAATATGTAGATAACTCGTTCCAATGACTCTTCAATGTGCTGTAATACATTGTAAATTGGTAGGGGCTATTGGCATCGTCTGGGTTGATCATATATGTTGGCGATGGTGAGGTTTTCAGGAGTCGTGCTCTTAATTTGGAGTATACTCTGATACCATGAAACAAAGGGAATAAACACTGATGAGTTCAGTGTGTGTACAAGATAGAGATGAGAGGGAAATAAGAGAAAGAGGATTGAGAGATCGACATGAGAGAGAATGCGGTTACAACAATTGGAAGAGTCCTACTCGATCGTCGATGCATGCACGATAATATCTCAGGTGGAATTTATGTATTATTCAATTCCCTCCTGATGTACTGATTTCTTTTTTGAATTCACACCAGAGACCATAGATCCTTAGTTTTGGAGGCCCAGTCGATTCTATCAATCTCTGCGGATCGAGGTTCCTTGAGCCAAACGACTTTACCCGATCCATATATGTGAAGGATTATTTGATCCCTGAGTATTTGAAACCCACGTCTTTCAATATCTACAACCGCATTTGGCTGGAGAAACGCCTCATGCAAATAACTGTCAAATAAAACCAGATGTTGAAACTCCCGCCATTACTAACATTCTCTTCCCCCATGTTATATCTCTACCAATCCCTCCAACCATCTATCTCATTGCCCTCTCTCTCCCTCTCTCTCTCTCTGTCTCTCAACATGAAGGGAGGAATCCTTGAAGTAGTTCTGGTCAGTGCAAAAGGCATTAGACACACAAATTTTGTGGGTAAGAGCCTCCTTCCTTCTCCCTCACACCCAGTTGATGATCTTATCATATATATTACGGAGTGTAAGATTCCTGGGATGGAGCCGATCACCATTTGCAAGGATCAAAATTTCGTCACATATAAATCCATATCGGTGTATTGGAGCCTTCCCGATATACCCCTACAGGGGGTGTTTCAGGTCGGCGAGTGGTTCAGGGGTAGATCGGCCTTAAATCGGCCTCTCTGAATCATTTTCAAAAAATAAAAAAAAAAACATAAAAATTAGTACCGATACAGGCCAATACACCCTACCGGCATATCAGCCTGTATCAATATTTTGAACCTTGCTTGGTAGAACTGTCACAGATCAGACAGACCTGAAATAACTGACCCATTCTATTAGGTTGGGATGGGTTTTGATTAGTCAAAACTCTTCCGATATCATATTTTTCTAGCATCATAGATTTTTTCTTGTATTTATATGTCATCATTATAATTTGGTTGGGATTTGAGAATTTGGGATTAGTTTTTAGTTGGACTGGGTCACTTGGGTCACTGACCTGAATTCGGCTTCCGTCAGGGCAAAACCATTCCAACAGCCTTATGTGGGAATATCTCCTTATTTATATGATTTATTTCATGAGAGATATTCCTAATACAACTTGTAAGGGACTGGGGAATGGTGCGAGCATCGAATTGCCCTGATAAAAGCCGAACTCCTCTAACCCATTAACATCACTTTCACCGTTTCACGTGGACAGGGAATATTTGCTCGCTAACTAGGACTGTAATTGGACCGGATTTGGATCAGATCGATCCACATCCGAATCCAATATGACTATTGAAGCTTCGAATATGCATTTGATCCAAAATGCGGAGTATTGGACTCCGATCGGGTTTGGATTTAATCAGAACAATCCTATTTTACTCAGTTTAGAGATAAAATTTTTTAATTTGAAAAATTTGAGAAATCTTTTATTAAGAAAAACTTCACTTACTTCAGAACAGGTTGGGCCCACACATGAGACTCCATATGAGACCTACAGGTCAAACCCATATATGGACTAATCTAGAACAAACTAGGAGACCAAAATGTTGGGGACTAGACCTATTCATGGGCCGGGTGGCCCGACGGGCCGGCCTGACCCCCGAATGGGCTTGAACAGGCTTTTTGGCCCGCGGGCTTAACCTCGGGCCAAAAATCCCGGCCCGCATAAAATTCGAGCCGGGCTCGGGCTTTGCCAAAATAGCCCGGCCCGAGCCCAGCCCGGCCCGACCTATAGTTAAACCTAAGTAAACCCGACCCGACTTATAGTTAAACCTAAGTAAAAACCCTATGTGATGTCCATTTAAATAAATTTTTTGATTTGAGAAGGTTGATGATTCACTTGTAGGCCCATTGTTCATTTAAATAGGGGAAAAAAATACTTGAATTAAAATAGATAATGTCTATTTGAATAGGGAAAATTTGATTTTCTTTTATTAAGTCGGGCTTCGGGCTCGGGCTCGGGCTTCGGGCTTTTTATCAGGGCCAGGCTCGGGCCCAAGTTCTAGGCCCATTGGTTGGGCCGAGCTCGGGCTCGGGCTTATTATTTTCCTGTTAATGAACACTAAAAGCCCGGCTCGAGCCCGCCCATAAACAGGTCTATTGGGGACCTATATCAAGGACCAAAATAGAACCTAACAAATAAAAAGTAACAAAAAGTGAATAGAAGTTGAATCAAAAGCAAATCAAAATGAGATTTTATTTAAATAGTTTTTTTTTGTCTTCTAGTGGATAGATATTTTTTTTTCAGCCATTTTTTATCGTAGTCGTAGTTATTAGAATAATTGCAAAAGGCCATTTCCCAATGTTAGCCCCAACACAGCTCTTAGGATGATTGTGATTTGTGAAATATATATAAATATTAGTCTGTGCTGAACTTTCCCAAAATCCATTAGCCAACGACCAGCAATGAGAACGCGGGTTCAAGTTTGAGAGCGGCCATTAGGATAAGGTCCAAATCTTTGGTTTTTTTTCACACAAAGTGGCCATTCTCAGACTTGAAGCCGTGTTCTCGTACTTGCCAGCCGTTAGGATGATTGTGATTTTGATTTGTGAAATATACATAAATGTTCTGCTATTTGGATGATTGTAAAAGGTCATTACCCAATGTTGGCCCAGATAACTGGGGTCTTTGGAGAGGTAGATTGGATATGGTTCTAGCCCTTGGTATTTTTTCACACAACCAGCTCTTAGGGTGATTGTAATTTGTGAAATATACATAAATGTTCGCCTGTGACAAACTTGCCCAAAATCCACTAGCCAAAGAAGATCCATGAGAAAAGGGGGTTCAAGTTTGAGAGCAGCCATTAGAGGATAAGGTTCAAACCTTTGGTATTTTTTCGCTCTAAGTGGTTGCTCTCATACTTCAAACCATGTTCTCATGCTTGCCAACTCTTACGATAATCATGATTTGTGAAATATACATAGTGTTTTAAAAGCCTAAGGCACAAGGGTCAATTTGCGCCTGAGACGCAAGGCACAATGTGAGGTGTGCACCTTTTTGAAACAAGGTGCAAAAATACAAAAAAAAAATGCTAAAGATAAAAAAAAATGTCAGAAAATTCATAAAAGTGCCAAAATTTTCAAAAAAATAAAAAATATTAAACATTATATTAATAAAAAATATAAACTTAAATTTTAAAACAATGTTTTAAAAAACCTATTATTTAAAATTAAAATACACAAACATAAGATGTAAAGCATATTCAAATGAGAATTTAAAAATAAAATCAAACATATAAAACATTTTCAAGCATGTAAAACCTCTAATCTCTTTTTTCACTCAATTGCATTACTTCACATAGCTAATGTAATGTAAAACATATTACATTCTTGATTCTATGAGCCACCTCTGTGCCACGTTCCTTGAGGCAAACCCAAACAAGTCCATGCTAGGTCTTAAATTCTTAGTTTTCACACAAAAAATAATAATTTTATAATTTTAACTGCTTTTTAAGAAGACATTTTATTATGATGAATGAATGAACCTGCATTGGATATGATTCTAACCTTTGGTATCTTTTTTGCATAAAGTGGACACTCGCAGGCTTGAACCTGCATTCTAATTCTTGCCAGCTCTTAAGATGGTCATGATTTGTGAAATATACATAAAAAGTTATTCTTGTGCCAAACTTTCCCAAAATCCACTAATCAGAGAAGATCCCATGTTGTTATTGCTTTATTACTGTTGAATAACTGTGGACATCTTTGATAACCCCTGTTATGATTACTCTTGGCATGAAGTTTGGATTATGAACTATTTTGATTATGATAAGTGATAATCTGTTCCATTTCTGTGGTGTCTTAGATTGAGAATTTGGACTTTTCTATGCTTCACGGTGGGTAAGTTTCAGTCTACATTGACTGGGGCTGATTAATGATTTTTGGTTTACTGAACGTATTAGGAAAACCAGGTTATTATGTTATAATTCAGTGTGGCACCCAAACACACAGAAGCAAGAACTCACCAGGTAAGTTCTTCTGATTGCTATTGTTTCCATATAAACCTCTGCTTATGCACTGATTGGAGAGCTGTTGCAAAACAGTAGTTGTCAAAAGAGTGAGATTTTACATGCAGTGACGACATTACGATGCTCATATGTTTCTATTACCCTAATCAAGAAGGTTTTTGTGCAGGTGAAGGCAGGAAAGTCTTATGGAATGAAAAGTTTATATTTAAATTTGCATCTTCTGAGTTGCAAGAGTTGACTTATCTGAAGTTAAGAATCATGGATAAGGAAATGTTTACCGAGGGTGGTTTTGTTGGTGAAACCTTGTAATAACATCTTTCATTTGAGAAGTATTACATTTAAGTTTTCTAATTTCTGCATTAACTTTGGGAAGCATGATTCATGCCCAGATGTTTTTACAGGTGAGGAATCTGGTTCTTATTTAGTTAAGACCAATCCAACCTCACAGGTGGGGCAATGATAATTATAAAGATGCTGATGGAAGGCATATCAAGAATACAAATTCTAAATGAAAACTAAATACTATTTAACCATTACAAGCTATTTTGCTTTCTTAGTTTATTGAATTTCTGGATAATTATTATTTCTATATCAGTTGCTTTTTTCATGCTTCAGAAGTCCTAGATCATAAATTGGCAATAACTTTCCATTGAATTCTTGCATTTTTACTGGCTTTTGGATGTTGAAAAGTTATCTGAAACTATGCAGAATTCATCTCGGAGGAATACTGACCGAAGGAAATAACAAAGGGTTCATACAACTGAAACCATCTCCATACAATGTGGTGCTTGAAGATGATAGCTATAAAGGAGAGATCAAAATTGGCCTCAAATTCATTGCAAATGTACGTCGTTTTGCAAATATGCATCTATGTGCGAACCATTTGCTTTCTTCTTACCATTACTGTGTGCATGGTGATGAAAAATGGCCAATGTGTTGAAACCTGATATTCAACACATAAATGAATATGAACCCAACAATGTCTCCAGTCTGCATACAAATCTGATATGTTCACCTCTTTTTTAATTCTTTACGAATCCCTCTATACCAGTGTCTGATGAACCATGCAATGTGCAGGTGGAACTGCAAACAGAGATGATAGAATATGAAGGGCAGGAGAAAAAACCACCACAGTCCATCTATAGAACCATTTTGAATTACTGCCAAATCTCATGGTGGAGGTTTTTCTTTTTCCACAAGAAATCAGATGATAAACAGATGAATTTCTGCCAAATCTGATATGTTCACCTGTTTTTTAATTCTTGCTTGTTTGGGCCTACCTTGTATGAGTGCAATTAATCTATTTTCAGAAACCACTGGAGGAAAATTGTCAGAAACTTTTAGATCTGCAAACAAGTATCAATCATGAATAATAGCCAATAAAATGCAGTTTGTTCTCATGTTTGTGATAAATTTCTAATTTCTCATCAGCATTTGGTTCATCTTAATCAATTGACTTTTGTCATCAAATCAAGCGGGGTTACAGGAAATCTTTGTGAGTTCACCATATTGATCAACCAACTGTTTTGTTGAACATCAATCAAACTAAATGCCCGCTTAGGATTATAGGAGATAATATATGTGGAGCCTATTAAATTGTGCCCGATCCCATAATTATTATAGACAACATACATGACTTAAAAATGGAATTATATTATTTTGCAGATGCAAAGAATAGGATCTTAAAAAAACTTGTACACTCAAAACTAGGGGTGTCAATGGACCAGGTTTGAGTTGGACCCTGTCTGAATCAGAACCAATTTGAATGGTTGGATGGTCCAATAAGACATATTGAATTGGATCAGTACAGACTAAATGGTCCAAAGTATTTATTGAATTGGATTGGACCTGGTCCATCTGTAATGGATTTATATTGGACTGGGTTAGATTGAACTAATATCCAATCCATTGACAAAACTCAAAAGATAAGTGTAGGGGCGTCAATGGACCAGGTTTGGGTTAGACACAATCTGAACTAAAACCAATTTGAACGGGTTGGACCATCCAATAAGGCATTGAGTTGGACCAGTGCAGTCCAAAATATTTATCGGATTGGATTGGATCTGGTCCATCCACAATGGACTCATGTTGGACCGGATTGGGTTGGACCAATATCCAGTCTATTGACAGCCCCACTCAAAACTAATGGAACTTTGCATTCCCAACTGTATTTGACTGTGTGCCTGAGGTGCTGAAGTCCTCTTATTTACCTTGCAGAGTACAAAGGACCCAGTATGGTGGCAGTTGCTTGAAAACTTGTTAACATAGTCATTGGAATGAAAAATGGCTGCTGTAGAAATGTCTTCAATACCAAGTAAATAGTATTGTCATCATGATTGAAACATGAGGTTCTTTGTGAAATAACAAGATAAGTAGAAAGAACAGTTGTTACACGAAAGAAACAAAAAAGAATTTTGAAAAGAAATTACATTAACAAATGGGATGCACAAGAACATGTATTTCCATTGGAAAGATCATGAGAAAACAAAATTAAGGTATTAAAGAGTATTTGTGAAACAACAATGTAGAGGTTGGTTTGAACATAACATATAACAAATTTGATGTTCAGACTATAGACTCAAAGCAGAGGGATATACACAAAGTAACCATTAAATGTTCTTTTGTTAAATATCTTTTCTCTTGACTTCATGATAAAATTGATCATGGGCCATAAACTGCTTCCAATGCTTAAGAAGAGTTCCTAACACTTAGAGGAGTTCACTAATTCATGTAGGTCTAAGTGGAAGGTCATAGTTCTGAAATATAGGATATTAAGAATTTCTGAAGGTGCTGAAGGTTCTAGCAACAATAAAAGCCAAACAAAGTTCTGCCTAAATGCGACAGACCATTAGAAATTTAGAACAGTAATAGATGAAATACTTGGGTATCATTCAAATTATAACTACAGAAATCAATTTGAAGTCAAATTCGTAGTTCATCATGAATGTAAGAACAGAAGTACCAATAGTTTTCAGGTGAGAAATCTGCACATAACTAATCGTACTATGCAAAAGCACTTATGTGTCACCTCTCTTAATGTGAAACTAGAAAAAGAATCCAAAGGGTGCAGTGTAGCATGAGGATAAACCAAAACAATGTCAATAGAAGACAGGGGAGTATCAGTGCATGTCATGTGGTGTCAGCACAGATAATGGCTTTAACCATGAATTGGGTTGGATCCAATCCAGCTCTCATTTCCTTTAAGATAACAAATTATCACAGAACTACCACTCTGCATATAGAGAACAAAATGTAGGATATTTCCGTCCAAACCACTTGAGTTTCTTCTTCTTCTTCATCTTATTTTTATTGAATTATTGATGAAAACTCATATTGATAATGGAGATTATATATTACAATGCTCTCTCTCTCTCTCTCAAGTAGACATACTCCCTCTATCTCCTCTAACTCAAAGTCAAACTCAACAAACAGATGTACGTATGCTTCACGACCCTTTCTGAAGAATTCCTCTTACTCAATGACAGTATGTTGATCTACAGTCTAATAAATATTAAATACCCACAACCACATGACCATATTTTTTTAGTTTTTTTTTTAAGAAATGGTCACCTATTGTCAATCATTATCAAGGGTTTATGAATCCACATGCCTAGTCTTAATTCTTAAATCCCCTAACCTTCCCACTTCTGACCAAACCACCTACCACATATTTCATATTCTGATATTTCTCACTTCATTCTTTGTTAATTTTCGTTGTAAAATTTACCAAACATAAACAAAATCTGAACACTCACAAGTCTATTTCATTATTTAATTTTATTCTATTTATGTAAGCTCTCAGTCTCAGTATGATCTCTAATTTGGACCACTTGATCGACTTCATAAATACCGAATGATAGAAGCAGAAGTTTTCCTGTACCAGGATGAGCCATCACAATCATACACGGCATCATCTGTGTTTCATAATCTACACAGGTCAATCAATCTGTAGTAGACCACCTTGGATTGTGTGTATGCCAAAGCCCACGTTCAGGGGGACCCACCAATGAACAGAGAGAAATATATCATTTCTACTTCATTTTCATCATGGAGAGGTTTTTGTTTTCGGTGTAAACCAGTTGGGCATATAAAAATTCCAGCTCATCTGGGTTTTGTTTTCTCTTAACACTATTTAATTACTGTTCAAGAAGGGATTATAGAATATCAAACATTTGATCTTGTAGTAAGACAAAATTTCGATGCTCTATATCGGGCCAAAAAAGAAAAACAGTGTCTATGATTTGTAGGTGTCTTTTGTTGCGTGCGTCTCTTCTCTTCATCCTCCTCCTGAAAGCTCTAAAGCCATGACCCATCAGCCAGCAAGCTTGAAAATGGTTCTGCTTCGTCCCATCACCGGAATTATGCGTTGTGATCAGATGGGGTGCTGAGATAGAATTGCTGAAAGAAAGTACATGGAGAAACAGGCAGGTGAGGGGACCGTTGGCTTTTCTTGCAATGGTACGCTTAATTTTTTCATAACCTCCGTTTCTTCAGCTTTTGATCCTCTTGGAAGCCTTTCATAGATTAGTTGGAGTCGGAAAATCTTCTCATGCTAATTCAGTAAAATTGTTTAGATTATACACACCATCGGGAACCCAGCACCGTGAGACTTCAGTCTGAATTCCGAATTTTTAATTTCTTCCCGGTTGTAATTGTTTGTTTCTATTTTTTAAGTTTCAAGCTTCCGTTTGTTCCAAACCTTTTTCTCTCCATTTTAATCATCTGTGAACTCTGCAACAGCCCCATGGTACAAGTAGTAATGGTGGTATTAACAGACGCCTCTCATATCCTGAAAATTGAATCTGTTTCATCTGCAGATTTGACCAAAATCAGGTTCTGAAGCTCGCGATGGACAACCTCTCAAACTCCGATAAGCATCATGGTCTGGGTTATCATCCCTCACCCTCTTCAGGGGATCGATTAGACCGATCAATAACAGAAACCACTGGCTACTCAACTTTGAGTGGTGACTCATTCAGAAACTGCCGAACCAACTCTGAAACTTCATCATTTTCAGAACCCGCTGATGACAACAGCTGCTCTGATGAACCCTCCCCTTTGCGCTGGCCAATCACCAAACCAGTAACCAGTCATCACGATGACTTTACGAGCTTGGGTATGAAGCAGGATATCAAAGTTGTTGATGAGACAAACAACGATGAAGTTGTTATAAATTCAGGTGAGTTGATTCACTTTCTGCCTTTTCTTGATAAAATCCTTGTTCCCATAGTGAGATATAAATTGAATGCAGTGCCTAACAAGTTGAAGTTTCTTTCCAGAACTCGAAATGATGAAGGAAAGATTTTCTAAACTTTTGTTGGGAGAAGACATGTCTGGGAGTGGAAAAGGTGTCTGCACAGCGGTTGCAATCTCAAATGCCATAACAAACCTCTACGGTACGCCATATTTCCTACACAAACAGCAAGAAGAAATAAAGGCAGATGTTTGTGCCTTCCGTTTTTTTCCTCAAATCTCTTATTGCTCCTCTCTCCCTTGCAGCCACTGTTTTTGGTCATAATTTAAGGTTAGAACCTCTACCTCCAGAGAAGAAGTCTATGTGGAGGAGGGAGATGGACTGTCTCTTATCTGTTTGCGACTACATAGTTGAATTCAGTCCTTGCCAAAACCATCAAGATGGGAAGTCTGTTGAGGTGAAGATCCATAGACCAATAACCTGGGATTTTGGGGTTAGTTCCTTTCTATTAACACCCTTCATTGTGGTCTTCAGGTGATGACAAGTAGACCCAGATCAGATATATCCATTAACCTTCCCGCATTGCAGAAGCTGGACGCAATGCTCTTGGTAAGAAAACATATTTCCATGAGCCAAAGTTGAGCACTTCTTTGGTTCTTGAATACTAAACTTCAATGTCTTTGCTTTCTAAACACAAATTTCATACTCACAATGATGTGAATATTTATTTCTGAAGGACATATTAGAGAGCTTTCAGGAGGCAGAATTCTGGTATGTAGATCAGGGAAACCTGCCCTTGATTACAAATCCTTCTGGGTCATTCCAAAGTGTTATCCATCAGAAGAAGGATAAATGGTGGTTGCCAGTTCCTTGTGTTCCTCCAGGTGGCCTCTCTGAGCATTCAAGAAAACAGTTGCAGCACAAACATGATTGTGCGAATCAAATGCACAAAGCAGCAATGGCTATCAACAGTAGTATCCTTACTGAGATGGAAGTCTCAGAGATATACATAGCAGCTCTACCAAAGGTGAAACCTCCCTGCTGATCCAATGCTTCAACAAGGACTCTCTTTCCTAGACTTTGCTTTTGCTTAATCTTGTCTTGTCTCCACTCTCCAGAGCGGAAGAGCCGGTTTGGGAGATGCAATTTACCGTTGCATATGTACCAGCAATGAGTTCTCCCCAGATTATCTTCTTGATTGCCTCAACATAACATCTGAGCATGAAGCTCTTGAGATTGCAAACCGAGTTGAGGCTTCGATGCACATATGGAGACGCAAAGTAGGCATGGGTCACTCAAAATCTTCCTGGGAAATGGTCAAGGATTTGATGGATGATGTCGACAAGAGTCACATACTTGCAGGTAGAGCGGAGACTCTGTTATTATGCTTGAAACAGAGGTACCCTGAATTGTCACAGACAACATTGGATACATACAAGATTCAGTACAATAAGGTGAGTCATGAGCATGCTAATGCAGTTAAATTTAAATAATTCATTAACTTGAATCATGCAAAAAGGGCCTAAAGGGGATCATTTGCTTGCAGGATGTCGGTCAGTCAATCTTAGAGAGCTATTCAAGAGTGTTGGAAGGATTAGCATTCAATATCGTTGCCTGGATCGAGGATGTTCTCGATGCAGACAAATCCATGAAACACCAAGATTAGTGGAAGAAAACAAATGAATTCAACTGTAAAGTTGATACATGCAGACCCTCGTTGCCAACCAAGAAGAAAAGCTCCCGACAGTAATGAATAGAACCAATCCCCATGACCCATGGCTTAAATTGTATATCTATAACCTGTAAAACGGTTAGAGATACGCCCAATGAAGAATTTTTCAAGGTCATTTGTGTTCTTCACAGAAAATTCTCAAAACACGATATTTTTGGCTCTTGTAAATGTGAACTGGTTCTGAGATTTCCGGCTTCACCAGCTTTGAATAGAGAAGCTTAAATCAAGTAATAACAATAAAATTCCATCAACAAAGAAAGTAATAACAGTAAACAATGAGGAAACCAGTTGGAAAAGCAGTCATTCTTCAAGATTATCTGCGCTATTAAGTACGAGAAATCTAGAACACATTATCGTATTCATTTGTAGATGAAACAAAGTATGTAAATTGGTGTCACTCAGGGAAGAAGAAAAAAAATCATCCTTTCTCAACCATCAGAGACCACACCGCGCTTGAGCTTGGAAGAGGATTCAGGAGGCGATTGCGTTTTCTTCAAAGAACAGGAAGTTCTAAACGCTTCCACTTGTGATTGGCATTTGAGGTAGTCGCCCTTGTTTTCTTCCAAGCACTTCTTTAGAGCTTCGACGTCGCATGGGGACATTACTTTCTTCGTTTTCCCTTTATCTGCTTGGTTATCCATCGTCTCCCCCAACCCAGAAATTAAGGAACTTCGTCCACCAAACCTGATTCAATCAAAGAAAATTAGCCACTTGGAGGAGATTGGATTAAAATCTACAGGTTGAGTACCGGCACAGAGAACACAAAATTCCAACCAAAATTGAAACAATTGAACCAAAAATCAATATTGGAGATCCTGATCGAGACCAAACTACCCAACCACTCGGGAGAAATAGCAATTGAAATTTGTAAAAAAACTAAACAGAATATCAATCGAGTTCTGGGAAAAAACGATTTTAAGGAAATTCATTTACTTACTAGTTTATGAGAGAGATGAGAAATTGCGGAAATATCCTATTGATCGTATAAATCCTAAACCCTAGAACCCGCAAACCCTGTCAACTCTTCGTCGTCAGATCTCTACGCTTCTCTGCGATGAAATTACGCCGGCTTTCGACCAGAAGGGAAGACAAAGACTCATTGACTCCTGACTAGGCAATAAAAAAAGAGAAATTATGGGCTTTTGATCAAGCGATTCAAGCCCAAGCCCACACTCCATCTGGGACATATAAACTAAACTACCTCAGCTGTGTCAAATTACGTAGATACCCCCTTGATACAATAAATTGACAGTGCGCTTCAAGCAAACTTCCTTCATAAGTGTGTCATGATGTAGGGAGGAGCGCCAGAACCAAGATTTGAAAAATGAAAACCTTAACGGCTACTTTCTAAAATTGATAAACCCTTTCCGCCCAAACGAGAGCGTAACCGGCTTTACCTCCTCCACGCACTCTATTGAGTTTTCTTCTTACATTATCCTTTCTGCTCTCTTTCTGAATTTCATCATCTCTTTCCTCTCCGTTCCTCAAATTCTCACTCGTTTCCTGCGTTTATTTATTCACTGATCTGATCACCCATGGCCTCATCGACAGAAGATTCAGTTCAAGTTAGGGCAAATTTGGGCTCTGATTCACGTCGAAAAGTCCGAATTGTGGCAAAAATCAGGGATTCCACTGATTTAGAGGTCCAATCCTCTAATGGGTCTCCAGCATGCCGGATTTTTGTGCAGAAACCCGAGCCACAGTCATCAGAAGGAGTGACGATCTCGTTCACAGACCAGCCAACGACCAGGTGTGACTTTCGTTCTCTTTCTTTTTTTTTTCCATTAGATTTCTTTATCGGATTTTAATTCGGGAAACGGAGCATGTACTGATGTTAGAATATCTCGATACCCTTCTTAGACTTCTTCCTTTTGAATGCGAGAGCTTGGGATTCCAACTTGATATAGAAAAGATTACATATTTATTTTATCTTGACTATTGTTTTTGGTGTTTCAGTCGTAAAGAGTCGTACAAATTAGACTACTGTTACGATCAAAATGAGGATATTGGAAAGATGTTCTCAAGAGAGGTAAAGCCTCTTGTTTCCGGGATTTTCCGTGGTTTAAACGCCTCTGTTCTTGCCTATGGAGCTAAGGGTAGTGGGAAGACATACACAATTCAGGTAGGTTTTTTAATGTTATTTTTTATCTGTTTTCATTCTCAGTGTTTTTCGTTTTGTTTTTTTTTTTTCCTTTTTTTTTGTTTAACTTCTACTGATTCATGAAAGCAATGCAATATATAGGGTTCAAACGAAAAACCTGGATTGGGGCCATTAGCGATGGAGGAAATTCTTTCCATTGCTGAAGAAACCGGAAGCTCAATCACGATGTCTTGGTACGAGGTTTATCAGGACCATGTCTACGACCTCTTGGAACCTAAACGACAAGAAGTCTTGGTTTTGGAAGGTGCTGGAGGGAGAATCCAGCTCAAAGGGCTTTCTCAGGTAAGTTCTACATCTCTTGTGAATCTCTTTTAGGTTTCAGGAATCTACAACTTCAAGGATCAGGTCGTGATATGTCTCTTTGCTTATTCTAATGCTGGTATCCTTTTGTTACTTGTTTCCAGATTCCAGTGAAGTCAATTTCAGATTTTAATAAAATCTATTTTCCTGCATGCACTTCTCGCAAACCAGCACAGAAGCACACAAATGACGTCCCACATAAGAGCCATAAGGGGCTAATCATTTATGTTTCTGCTAATGACAAAGATTCCAATACTAATCTGGTAGGGAAGATGAATTTTGTGGATTTGGCAGGTATTACCCTTCAGAGCTGAATTGAAATTCTTGGAGTTCAAAAGGAGTAGCATTTCTGTTCTGTCAAGTTTAATATTTTTTCATTTTTCCTTTTTGGTGCATTATTTTTATAGGTTTTGAGAGCACAAGGATGAACAAGTCACTATATGCTTTACAGAATGTTGTTCATGCTTTAAATGCCAATGAACGTGTTCCATACCGAGAAAGCAAACTCACCCGCATGTTGCAAGATACACTAGGTGGCACAAGCCAAATTCTAATGGTCACTTGTTTGGTGAGCCATTTTGTTTCTCAATGAAGCTTTCTGGGTTTCTTTACTTCCTGAGACCTTCTTTACCTATGTATACCTTGTTATTTTCCTATTTTTTGCTGTTGACCTTTCTTCCTTTTTTTTCCTGAATGCAGAACCCATACCCTTGCCAAGACACCATTTACACAGTTAGTTTTGCTTCTCGATCATGCCAAGTTGGGAAGATCTGCCTTGACACAAAACGGACCATGACTGTGACAAGGTCAGCACTCTACTCTCCAAAATCTGGGAGACCCTTAAGTCTTTCTTCCACTTCTGCAAAAAAGCACAACATCTTGCAATCGAAGTTTATGGAAAAGAAGGCCAATTTCGTGTCATCAGAAATGAAAGCAAGGTATGTGTGTTTGTGTGCATGAATTGTGTGTGAGTTGGTACATGTTTGTGTGAACGATTAATTCTAGGTTAGTGCATAAAACTTTCATTTAATTTTCAAATTAGACACATTAGTATACCATTTTGTTGTTTATATTTTGCTCACAGGAAACTTTTTGATGGAGCAAATCCTGCCAACAGTTCAGTGCAGGTAAGAACACTAGTGATCTATGTGTGGTATTTCCAAATATTGAATTCTGTTGCAAGATTGAGATCCCAGCTTTTCACCAATTACTTTGGTCCTACATATTTGAATTTTTAACCACCTAAGTATATGTTTCTTCAGCAAATTCTTTAAGAGTTTCAGCCTTTGAGAATGTTATCAGTCTACAACTGGGAAGAGAAAAAAATTTCCTCTGATGGTTAGTTAATAAGGGCATCTTGAATTCTATGCAGGAAAGTTCTTCATCAGACATTGCTTCATCTGTAAAGCATTCCATACAAGAGGTAGTATTTCCATCTTTTTGCCGGTATTTAATGAAGGACACATATTGGGAAAGTGTTGGGACCTATAAGAATTATTCTTATTTTCCAATTAGATGATCTAAAAAACTCTATTTCATGCAGGAAAGCTGCTTATCAGAAATTTCTTCAGCAATAGTGCCTCTTCCACTGCAAGAAGAGGTTAGAGCACGTAGTTCTTGTTTAATTTGTGATGCATTTGAAATATATAGCTTTTAAACTAGTATATACTTGTTCAAATGATATGTTACTTTAGGCAAGTAAAAATCCATTTTACTTGTTCAAATGATATGCTACCAAGGAAATACAAAAGATTTGATCAACTCTGCATTCTTATAAATCTAGACAAATCTAGATGAGAATTCATTTAAACAGAAATGGAATATAATACTAGTTAAAACCATCGCAGGAAGTTTCACTAACAATTGCTTCCAAGGAAATAGAACCTTTTCCAGAAAATGAGGTATTTTTTTTTCTTGGAATACCTTGTTTACTATTAAGCTTTTGCACAAGATTTTTTTTTTCATGGGTGCAACTAAGGTTTTTGCATAAGAAGCTTTTTCACATTGAAACGGACTAACCATTTGTTTTCCTAGGCTATATCCTTACAGAATGAGTACAAGCATCCTGATATTACCAGTGTGTCTGCATGTGATACAACAATGCTGATTGCTCCGGAAGAAGGTTGGTAGCATGTGGACTCCCTCTGTGGATTTACTAGATGTCAAATGCAAGTTTTTGTATGAATAATATCTTCTATTCTTCTTCATCTATATATTGATAATATTGCACATTATAATGCAGAAAAGGAGAACAACAGTGATTCACCACCTTTAAGTGAAAGACTACGAGAATTGTCAAACTCATTGAAGTCTCTTTGCTCCTCAACACCACTTAGCATAAAGATGCCACAGGAAAGTAACAATCCTTGCAACAGCCAGGTTTTTGTGGATGTTATGGAACCCAAAACCCCACGAACTGAACAGTGTCTTAGATTTAACGATAACCTGGAGCTAGCAAATATTGGGACACCACGGGGAAAATTCAATTTGTGCAGCTCTGGACTGAAGGTGATTTCTAGGATTTCTAAATTGTACCCTTGTACAAGGAGACAAATTCTTTCTCTTGTCATTAATTAGAAGTTGCTATTTTCATGCAGAATTCCTTAGTTAGAGAATACCTCAGGTTTCTAAATACTGCTGACAAGTAAGTAATGCCATTTCATAAATTAATCAGCTTTTATCATGCACTAATTCATGCTTGCTTTCCTTTTGTAGCTTTTTCCCTGAACATCATAGGAAGTTTGGTTATGAAACTAATTTTGTGTAGGACAGAATCATCTGCCATGTGGTATTATGGAAATTTCTATTAGCCATAAATTCGTCAAAACTATGAATTCATCAAGAATACCCCTTATTTTTCTTCCTGTTTCTCTTTGGGGATCAATGACAATTATATGCTATGTTACCTAAATACATCAAGGACACAGCTGGATAAGGTGTTGAAGTATTCAGCACAAAATTACACCCTTGTAGAGGTACCTGGATGCCATATATTAAATGTTAGGAGGTTCAAACTAGTTTTCTTCTGTGTGCACTTCAAGCTAAGTTTACAATAGCTACCCGATAGCATGACAGAGTCCAATTCTAGATAACCCTAATGTTTTTCAAGTTTTTGTTCCTTTATCTTTAGTGTGAACTAATACTTTTGTTTTACCAATCACAGGGAAGAATTGAAAGGGATGAAGGTAGACTTCATTTTTTCCAATTTAGCATTCAAATTTTCCAAAACCTTTCGCTATCTCACTCTCATCATAGTTTTACATTTGTTTATTTTCTATAGGGAATTGGAGAGAAAAGGGCCAATTACATACTAGAACTTCGTGATGAATTACCAGAGCCCTTCAAAGATGTAAGCATTCTTAATTTCAGTTACATTTTTCTCAAAAACAGGAAATTTTTTCATGTTGAAATATTTAAGCTACATTTTCTCCTCTCTTATGATGGAAACTTTGTTTTGTACTTTCTGCAAAAAAAAGGCAGAAATAATAGCTGAAATATTTTAGTTTGAAAATTCTGTCCAATTTATGGTGGGAACAATGCAGCCTAAATGTGTTTTTTACTTGAACCTATTTATGAAAAGATTTCTATATTCACTTTTTCAATTGTTATTAGCACAAAAGTTCATAAACTGAAATGCAAATATTACTGCTAATAAAAATTCAAATGAAGATTTTTCCTACATTGTTTTTAGCACAAAAAAAAAATCATTGTTTTTACCTATTTGGTAACAGCTAGATGATTTGGTGACTAGAACAGACTATGACTAAAAAAACTATATTTGGTAACAGCTAGATGATTTGGTGACTAGAACAGACTATGACTAAAAAAACTATATTTGGTTACAGTTAGATGATTTGAAAGACATAGGCCTCTCCAAGAAGCAGGTAAGCTCCTTGTTGACTCTGACCAATTAAGATTTTTCCTGCAGCTGGCCCTTCACATTGATTCGGTTGTCTGTTTCTTCAACAGATAAATCAAATGATGAAGAAAGTTGCTGGAGATCTTTTCAGTTGACTTTGTATATAGATATTCTGTGTTGCTGTCAGGGATCTTGAATTCTAATCGCTGGCAACTCAATGTTGCCCTCACTAAAACATAGAATTTCTAGAACATGTTTATGCATGAAATGTTATTTTCAGTGTCAAAATGATGTTCTTTCATCATCTTTTCATTCACTTTTTTTTTTCCAAGAAAAATTTGCTTGTTTCCTTTCTCTATATTTTTGTGGAGGAATTATTGTGAGAATGGTGGGGCCCCTGAAAAGTTTATAGAGTTGGACATTTCTTTTATGGTTTCACCTACTCTGTAAGGTGAAGAATTTAGTTAACACCCCTTACTTCAATTCAGCAAGGTAAGTCACTAAAGTTCTCATTTGGAAATGGAAATCAACCCTCCTTTAAGTTATCATGCTTTAAAGAAGAAAATTCCGCAGTCAATTCTGTGGTTGGCAAGACAATGAACCCGGATCTGTTACACAAGGTTGCTGTGTTACATTTAAAACTTAAAAGTCTATCTTATTTTTTTGGCACCTTTTTACCCACGTGTATTTGTACTTCTTGAAAGGTCTTTCCCACATGGGCATCAAGAAAAGGTTGACAATGGGTTTATAAAAATGAAATAGAAACGCTGATAAATTGTATTGAATGTTAAAATTAAGTATTTTTGTCAATATCAAACTGTAACACTTCTATTGTTAACAAATTTGTCCCACTTAGATAGGAATGAAAAGTTGAAAAAGGGTTAAGGATAAGAGTGCTTGGGTAAAATAATTATTTCTATATTAATTCTGTATCAGTATTTAAAAGGAAAAATTCCCAATTAGTACTCTGTACTTTGGGCCTGCACTTTGGTCCCCGAACTTTAAAATGCAACAATTCAGTACCCGAACTTTTAAAGCGTGCCAATCCAGTACCTGCCATTATAATCAGTTGTTAATTAGCCGTTAAGTGGCATTTAAAAAGACAAATTCCCTTTGAGTGTCATCTAATTTTCTTTATCAACCACTCAAACGTTGACAAAAAAAATTAACAGTCCCAAATCCGTGTCTCTTCTATTCAAGAAAGTTGGGGTCACTAGAGTGCCCACAAGAACATGACCCCAACTTTCCTTATCAATGTTTGGATGATTGATAAAAAAATAAGAGGACACTAGAAGGGCAATGTGTCTTTTCAAATGCCATTTAACGGGTGGTTAATGGCAAGTACTGGATTGGCATGTTTTAAAAGTTTGGATAATAAATTGTCGTGCTTTAAAGTTTGGGGAGCAAAGTGGCACTAGGCCCAAAGTACAGGGTACTAATCGGGAATTTTCCCTATTTAAAAAAAGGGCAATTTTTTTAAACTATCCCTACTATTTTTGTATCATCTTAGAGTACCCCTACTCTTTTTGACAATTGACTAAATATTCCTTACCGTCATTGTCCGTTAACAGAAGGATTAAAAAGAGTACCCCTACTCTTTGGTTCCGAATGCTAAGGATCGACTAGCCTTGAAATCTCACGAGTCTTTTATGAAAAAACCTCCTTTAATACTAGTTGATACTGTATCCCCATCTTCATCTTTCTCTTTGTCATTAATACTAGTTGATACTATTTTCACCCATTTGTCTGGATGCCATTGTTGCAAACACAAGCAACTCTAGTATTGCACTTGAAACCAAAGCCAAGAAAAAATAAAACATAGGGGTACAGCCTACTTATCCCTAAAATAGGGGTTTTAATTGTTCAGTCCACCCCTAGAAATCTTAGCTCCACTTTAGGGGTGGAATGAATCTTGACCGTGGATTGATGCCAAATCCACGGGCAGGATGCGGTTTATAGGGGCTACTAGACTAAAATATATAAGCCTTCATCGTCGGCAGTGTTGTTGCTTCTAGCTAAGGTTGTACACAGGCTGGTTCGGTTTGGTTGCATATGTTTTTTTCAACCAAACCAAACTGCTCGGGTTGAATTTTCAGCCAACCAAAACCGACCAAATGAGTATAAAAACTAACCTATTATTTGAACAGTCAGGTTTGTCGATTTGGCCGGTTTAAATCCAACTAACTTCAAAAACTTGAGACTCAGAGGGTGGAAGCAATACAATTGATCATTGCAAGTTCTTTCTACAACTACAAGTTGTCAAGTTTTTCGGGTTGTGTTCGTAGCAAGTACAAGTTCAGATTGTGTTCGTGACAAGAGAATCAAAGGTTTTTTTTTGCCAAAAAAAAAAAGAGTTTGTATCCCACTTACATTTTCGCAAAAAAAAAATCCATTGAATTTGTCTTCATTTTTTTTTGTGCTCCAAATTTAGCACGAAATTTGTGTCGACGGCGCATTAAGCACCCACCCCACCACTTACAAATTAAGATCTAAAAATGTATTTCAGATCTAGTATTAAGAGGAAATACCAAACGTCTGTAGCGTTTGAAAAGCAATTAATTCAGATCTTAATCATCTGAAAAGTGCAATCAAACGCTACCTTAAAGTTAAAAGATTCTTCTTAAGATATAAAAGTTAAGAGAAAACGAACAGACCCTTAGACTTTTAAGAGTTTCCTAGTCTTTTCTGTCAGGTTATTAATGCTCAATCCTCAAAAGGAATGAAAGACAACTTTTGAATGAATAATGACTTCTTTTCTCGAAACTAGGAAGGAAATGTTGGAAAATAAAACTTTTATATAAATTCTAAGCTTTTTTTTGGAAACTAGAAAAGAAGACAAATTGGAAAATTGAGAATTTTGAACATTGGAAAATTGAGAATTTTAAACATTGGAAATTGAATATTTTACCTTTTTTTAACTTATAGTCGATTCAGTTTGGGTTGTTTTTGGTTTACAAATACATAAACCAAAACCGAACCAACCAATTGGGTTATGCATGTTTATAAACCGAAACTGAACCGATATACTTTAAAAACCGACCATATCGGTTCAAGTCGAACCGATTTGGTCAGTTTGGTCGGTTTAGCCCTTCTTATGAACATCTCTACTTCTGATCTTGGGGTCGATTTTTCTGAGTTCCTCGCCGATAGCATTTGCCAAACTACTCTCGCCAAGCAATCCCCCCATTACTGTAAATTCAAGAGATGTGCATCTTCCTGCTATAGAACTCGATGAGATTGGCAACAATTTTTTCGAGTTCCTCACCAATGGCATCTTCCAGTCCACTCTCGCCAGCGGTGCTGTTGCATCGAGAGGAAATCACAAGCAGTGATTTTGGTTTCGATCTTCCCCTTCTCTCCTCTTCTCCCTCTTTCCCTCTTTTTGTTTTTACTTTCTTTCCTCCTTCCCATCATCGCCCCCCTGTTCTTCAAGGCTCCTAAAGTGTAACGACTTTGGGAGGTACAATTTCCTTCGTAACTGCAAGCTGCTCAACGGGCCTCATCACGTAGAAGCCCCACGAGGTCGAGCAAGTTGGGGCATTGTTGAGACTAAGATAGTCCTAACCTTCCAACCAACTATCAAACATCGGATAATAGAGGTCTGAGACGGAGCAGACTATCTTAGTCTCAACAACTATTGGGGATAACGGCATCGTCCAAAGATCTTCGAGCGTCGGAGCAGTAATTTGCAGTAAGAACCCTGTAATCATTTACCAAGGTTTATGATAGAGGATGAAGATTTCCAAAGGGAGGTTGAGAAGGCTATTTCTTCTGCATTTCTTCAAACTGATTCTGCTTTTGCATAAGCTTGTTCCGTGGACACAACTCTTGCTTCTAGGGCAATTGCACTGGCAGTTCTTGTTTTGGGGAGATCAATGTTAGGGGAAAATGCAAGAGATTGCCGATAATTTTACCATCAACTTGTCAAGAGCCATCACCAACTTTGATTTCCTTAGAGGCAGCACCAACAACACAAACATGGTTGCCATGGCTGACTGTATAAAAGTCAAGATAAATGAAAAATCCTTCAATCAACGATCAATGGTTGGATTGGAAGCACTGCAATAAAAGGATTGATGGTTCTCCACCTCTCGTATTAGTTCTCTTTTGCCTCAGACGCTTAGTTCCCTTCAACCCATTCCTGTCGTCATCAACTAAACCAGAGCGAGAAAAATTGAAAATCAAAGATGAAGCGACAGAGGCAACGAGAGGTCCTCCTAGAGAACCCAGTGACAAAAAAAGAAAAAAAAATCTATATGGTTCCTTGCAGATCTGACGGGACGAGTTGCAAAAGGGGAAAAAGGAGAGAGAGAGGGGCTAAAGGTGGAGGGGTCCCCTGTTGCAATTCGTTGCAGCGGCGGTGATGAAAAGGGAAGATAACGAAAGGGAAGGAGAGAGAAGTGTAAAATTGGGTTTTAAAGAAAAAATATAGGTTAGGAAATATATGGAATTTGATTGATGGAGGGTGATTTGTTGATTGAATCATTTCCATAAAACTAAAGAAAATAGATTTCCTAAGCCCATTTTTTTGCTTTCGAGACTTTTCATCAAACATTGATGAAGGGTGATTTGGCCCGACCTCGCAACATGGGTATACATGAGCGTGACCTTGCTCAAATAGTGACTCAGTATGACAGCGCAACGGACGTGACTACAATTCGGAGGGAAAGTCCTACCGAGCTCAGCTCGACAACTAGGCGGGTAAGCCACTCACCAGAAGCCATCTTACCCGCACCTCCTCCCCGAGGTTAAGGCACTTCGGGGGGTCATGAGTTCGGGGCACCCTGACCTCTCTTAAGGCCCGAGCTCCCCCCAATGGACCTCGGGCCACTCCCAGACAGGATCGCACCGATCCATCTCTAGACACCCCGAGGCATGGACACCTCGGGTCAGCCAGCTCGACATAATTTGCTACTGGCAACTCGTCACTCAAGATACAGCCTGACTCAAGGTAATTCGCGGAAGGGTAGCTCGGCACACCGTAGGAAGGCTTCCTGCTCGACCGTCGTACCCGACAAATCTGTGGACAGCAAACATGTCCCTTGTCAGAAAGCGCCGCACCTGTTACCTTTAGAAAGGTGTCTCGCACCTGACAGGCACGTACCCTGCAACGACGGCCCTGCACGTGCCACCTCAGCCTTGCCAGTAACAGCTATGGCAGACTGACAGTGGCGGTTATACCTGCCCTGTCAGAAGCAGAGGGCCTGAAGCAACGGAATTCAGTTATAAGGGGCTTATTCTCAAGGAACAAGGTATCTTCGAATCACTGGCGCAATCCTCACTCTTAGCCTTCGTTTTCCCTTCGCTTCTTGCACAAAATATTGACTTAATCATCGGAGTGTTCCTGCCGGGCAAACCCCCGGGAGTTCTTCTTCTTCCCTCTCGCCCCAGGTACTTCTCAGGAGCCACGCGAGTGCTAGCTAGGAGTGACCGGAT